GAGAGAACATAAAGCTAACACTTCTATTTTAAGGGGTTTGTGGAACTGTTTTTTTTTTAAAGATTGATTTTATTTTATTTTTTAATATTTATTTTTTATTGTGTATACAGTGTTCTCTCTGCATATATGCCTGCAGGCCAGAAAAGGGCACCAGATCTCAATACAGATGGTTGTGAGCCACTATGTGGTTGATGGAAATTGAACTCAGGACCTCTGGAAGAGCAGTCAGTGCTCTTAACCGCTGAGCCATCTCTCCAGCCCCTGTGGAACTCTTTCTTTGGCCTCCTGCATCACAATAATTGGAGAAACATCAGATATATAGTTGGTCTTTTTTTTTTTTTTTTTTTTTTTTTTTTAAATATTTATTATGTATACAGTATTCTTTTTTTTTTTTTTTTTTTTTTTGGTTTTTCGAGACAGGGTTTCTCTGTAGCTTTGGAGCCTGTCCTGGAACTCCCTTGGTAGACCAGGCTGGCCTCGAACTCACAGAGATCCGCCTGTCTCTGCCTCCCAAGTGCTGGGATTACAGGCGTGCGCCACCACCGCCCGGCTAGTTGGTCTTTTTTTGTCAGACTTTTTTGGGACCACCAGCTTCTCAACATGGGAGAGTTAATATTATTAATTATGAAAGCTTAACCTTTAGATGAGGCTTGCCCCCAGTTAGTTCTTACAACTTAAATTAACCTGCCTCTATTAATTTACCTTCTGCCACACATCTCTTTACTCCTCTTCAATTCTGTATGTCTAACTCCCTCTGTGTCTCACCGGCGTCTCAAGCACCTAGATTCTAACCTTTCTGAGTTCCTCTCTCTGCCCAGAAGTTCTGGCTAACTTATCCTGGCTAGCTATTGGTCATTTAGCTTTTTATTAAGTCAATCACCATGATACATCTTCACACAGTATACAAATATCCCACAACATTTCTTCCTTTTGTGTAAATAAAAAGGAAAGGTTTTTTTATTCTAGTACAGTAAAACTATACACAATAAGAACAATAATCAGTGATTGTCTAAATAAAAAGAAAAGGTTTTAACCCTAACACAGTAAAATTATATACAATAAGAACAATTAGCTGGGGGCTGGAGAGATGGCTCAGTGGTTAAGGGTACCAACTGCTCTTCCAGAGGACCTGCGTTCAATTCCTAGTATCCATATGGCAGCTCACAACTGTCTGTAACTCCAAGATCTGACACCCTTACACAGAGATACATGCAGGCAAAATACCAATGTATGTAAAATAAATAAATTATTAAAAAAAAAAAAGAACAGAGATCCTCCTCCCTCACAAGTGCTGGGGTTAAAGGTGTGTGCCACCACAACCCAGAAAGGGCAGATTCTTGTCCAGTGACTAACTTTGTCACAAATGAAAGCAAACTCCATATGGAGGTTCTTTAATACCCATCATCTTCTATTTTAAAAAAATTATTTATTTTCATTTTGTGTGCATTGGTGTTTTACCTGTACACATATGTCTGTGTAGAGGTGTCAAGTCCCCAGGAACTGGAGTTACAAACACTTGTGAGCTGCCATGTGGGTGCTGGGAATTGAACCTGGGTCCTCTGGAAGAGCAACTAGTGCTCTTAACTACTGAGCCATCTCTCCAGCCCACCCATCATCTTCTTTGAAGTAGATTGGTACTGCTAAGAGCAGACATATCTCATTGTCATGAAAAGTCTTATGTTGCCGGGCGGTGTTGGCACACGCCTTTAATCCCAGCACTTGGGAGGCAGAGGCAGGAGGATCTCTGTGAGTTTGAGGCCAGCCTGGTCTACAAGAGCTAGTTCCAGGACAGGCTCCAAAACCACATAGAAACCCTGCCTCGAAAAACAAAAACAAAAACAAAAACAAAAAAAAAGAAAGAAAAGTTTTATGTTATTAGAATATCTTTTTGTTTGTTTGTTTGAGACAGGGTTTCTCTGTAGCTTTGGAGCCTGCCCTGGAACTAGCTCTTGTAGACCAGGCTGGCCTCAAACTCACAGGTAGAAATCTACCTACCTGCCTCTGCCTCCAGAGTTCTGGGAATAAGGCATGTGTCACCACCATTTAAGATAATTAGAATATCTTTTTTGTTGTTGTTGTTTTTCGACCAGGCTGGCCTCAGACTCATAGAGATCCACCTGCCTCTGCCTCCTGAGTGCTGGGATTAAAGGCTGGTGCCACCACCGCTCGGCTGAAAACACACAAACTTTTACTTTGTTTTTCAAGATGGGGTTTCTCTGTGGAATAGTTCTAGCTGTCCTGGAACTCACTATATACACCAGTATGGCCTTAAACTCAGAAATCTGCCTGCCCCTGTCTCTCTGGGATTAAAGATGTGCACCACCACTGCCTGGCTTTTTTCAAATTAATTTATTTATTGTGTATACAGTGTTTCACCAGCATGTATGCCTGCAGACCAGAAGAGGGCACCAGATCTAATTATGGATGGTTGTGAGCCACCATGTCGTTGCTGGGACTTGAACTCAGGACCTTTGGAAGAGCAGCCAGTGCTCTTAACTGCTGAGCCATCTTACCAGTCCCAACACACAAACTTTTAAAGGTAACATACATATCTACATTAACACAACCATGGAAAGTGTGGTATGCACAAATCAGCTAAAGATGATTCTTCGTTTTGTTTGAGCATGTGAAATCATCTGTCAACTTCATAAGTCCATTTGGACTATATAACCAAATATTAATATAAATTTCCAGCCATGCCATATGAGAGGATTGCATGTAATAATAAGTCATGAGGACTCTGTAACTAACAAGGTATATCATGTTTCATTCGGTCTCAGCTCATATGTCACCTGTCTTGTAGCCTTTTGCTTTTTATTTATGTTGGTAGCCAAGATTTCAGGAGGTCTCCCCCAGCCAAATTTGTCTGTATTAATTTTGAAGAAACCTACAGGTTTTTGTTTCCCATAGAAACAAAGGCATAACCTCTTTCCCAATGCAACATATTTTCTGACTTTCATTTAAGACCTTTTTAAAATATATAGGCTAATTTAATTCAGTAGGGTTTTTTTTTTTTTTACAATTTAGTATCTCTCAAAAGCTGCCATTTTTTTTTTGCTCATTAGTATTTAAAAAATTTAAACCAAATAGGATCCTTTCTTTTCTTTTCTTTCTTTAGTTTTTTAAGACAGGGTTTCTCTGTAGCTTAGGGGCCTGTCCTGAAACTCACTCTCTAGACCAGGCTGGCCTTGAATTCATAGAGATCTGCCTGTCTGTGCCTCCCAAGTGCTGGGATCAAAGGTGTGTGCCACCAAATCTGGGCTTTATTTCTTATTTTTTAATTTTATTTATTCATTAATTAATTTATTTTTTTAATATACCAATCCCATTTCTCCCTCCCTCTTGTCCTCCCATTCCTTCTACCTTACCCCTATCCACACTCCTCCACTCCTTGGACAACCTGTGTATTTCATATCCTTACATGGTTTATTTTTTACATTATTTTCTCATTCTTTTTTTAATATTTATTTATTTATTTATTATGTATACAATGTTCTGTATGCATACGTCAGACCTCATTACAGATGGTTGTGAGCCACCATGTGGTTGCTGGGAATTGAACTCTGGACCCTTGGAAGAGCAGGCAATGCTCTCAACCACTGAGCCATCTCTCCAGCCCCTATTTTCTCATTCTTTAAAAACTTTATAGCCGGGCGGTGGTGGCACACGCCTTTAATCCAAGCACTAGGGAGGCAGAGGCAGGTGGATATCTGTGTGTTCGAGGCCAGCCTGGTCTACAAGAGCTAGTTCCAGGACAGGAACTAAAAAAAAAAAACTACGGAGAGCCGGGGGATGGTGGCGCATGCCTTTAATCCCAGCACTCGGGAGGCACAGGCAGACAGATCTCTGTGAGTTCGAGACCAGCCTGGTCTACAGAGCTAGTTCCAGGATAGGCTCCAAAGCCACAGAGAAACCCTGTTTCAAAAAATCAAAAAAAAAAACTTTATTACTTTTTATTAAAGGAGAGGGACTGTTTTAGATTACATTTTATTTATTTTTTAAGATTTGTTTATTTATTATGTACACAGTGTTCAGCCTCCATGTATGCCTGCAGGCCAGAAGAGAGCACCAGATCTTGTTACAGATGGTTGTGAGCCACCATGTAATTGCTGGGAATTGAACTCAGGACCTCCGGAAGAGTGGTCAGTGCTCTTAACCTCTGAGCCATCTCTCCAGCCCAAACTTTATTACTTTTAAACATACATTTTTTTATGATTGTCTATACTCATTTTAAGCACCTAAACATATTTTTAAACTAACTACCTATTCAAAGTTTTGGCCTAGACCTGAACTTTTTTTCTTCCCCCTGCATCAGCAGCATTTTGTAAATGGAAATTTTTGTCCCGCCCAGTTCTGCAACTGTTCAATCTCAAAGAAACACAGAGTCTTATATTAAGTACAAACTGTTTGGCCTTTTAGCTCAGGCTTATTATTAGTTAGCTCTTACCACTTAAATTAACCCATAATTATTGCCTATGTTTAGCTACATGGCTTGGTACCTTTTATCAGAGAGGCATTATCATCTTGCATCCTCTGCATCTGGCTGGTGATTTCATCTCTGCCTCTCCTCTTCCCAGAATTCTACTCTGGTCACCCCACCCGTACTTTCTTCCTGGCTTCTGGCCAATCAGTGTTTTACTAAACCAATATGAGTGACAAATCTCTACAGGTTACAAGAGCATTATCCCACAGCATTGTGAACCAAATCTTAAATGACTAGGTGGTGGCTGGGCTATCTGCTTGCTTTGTGGCTCCACTTAGCACTTGGTGCTGACAGCTGGCTCCACCCCCTTCAGGTCCCTGAGAGCTGAGCCTTACACCTGCGGGTACCTCCTGTGGTTGCTGGCCAGGAGCTGCATTTACTTACCCCAGTTCCAGGAAGCAGCTGGGTTTGTGCTGAGGCAGGCATTTTTACCTAGCTTCCCATTCTAACTAGTAGTATGCCAGTTATTCAAGTGCTCAGCTGTGTGACAGGAGTTTTTTTGTTTTGTTTGTTTTTACAAGAGAGAGCATGAACGCAGTCCCCGACTACCACAACTTATGCAGTTGAGTTTCCCATATTTGGGGAAATTGCAGGGGTCAACACATCTGGGGTGCAATGGATAAGCCTTGCCCTGGGAAAACCACCTTAGTGATCATGGTATCTCCTCTTCCAGTACAACAGACCCTCTTAAAGAAGCTGCACCTCTGAACCTCTATAAACTGTGAACACTGAGCCTGTCAGGAAGTCACATTGAACTCCATGTTCAGAACATTTTTTCAGCTTTCTCAGACTCTGGTTTTTGTTGTTGTTGTTGTTTTTGTTTTGTTTTGTTTTGTTTTTGTTTTGTTTCTTCTTTTTGAGACAGGGTTTCTATGTAGCTTTGGAGCCTGTCCTGGAACTAGCTCTAGTAGACCAGGCTGGCCTTGAACTCACAAAGATCCGCCAGCCTCTGCTTCCCTGAGTGCAGGAAATAAAGGCGTGTGCCCCGCAGTGGCCCATGAACTCATTTTATCCAGGAAAAACTCACTGAGACATGATAGTTTAGTAGCAATGGGTAGAATGACGAGGGATGGGTAGAGTCCTGACTGAGATTGGAGGAGATTCAGAGTTTCTCAGGGTTTCACACATTTCACATAATAAAGGTTCTTCCTATGTTCAGTGGAGCGATTACAGTACAAATCCTGGCAGTTCACAGCAGGAGAACCTAGGGTGGGCGATCCAAACAGCAACCCCAGTTTCCATCATCTGACCCCCCACTCCTACCATCCATCATAAAAAATGAAGTGTGCAGTAGAGAAACGTACACCCTTAATCAACAGACATTTATTGAGCTCCTGGTGTGTGCTAAGCACCGAGGCAGAACACACAGAGATATCGGATTGGATGGCAGCCCACAGGGAAATTCTGGATGCCCTCAGAAAAGAAGTGGTAGACAGGGAGATACCTATCAATCACAGGCCTTCTCCCTTCTGTGGTTTCAGGAAATGGAAGGGTCCAGAAAGAGACACCTTAGATGACATCCAAGACTTAGACTTACATGTTCCATGTGTATAAGATACATGTGTATAACTCACACAACTATAGATGTGTACAGGACAAAAACTGCGTATATGTTGCATATGCACAGGCTTTATGTGCAGAGTCAGAGTCTATGTGTGCACAGGACACATGGATACGGCACAAGAACTCCATCTGCCCCAGCCAGAGCAAAGGGATGGGGAGGGTCTCGGGACAGCAAGACCTGTCAAGGCTGGGGCTGGTACTGGCCCTCTGTGGCTGTGAAGAAGTCATCCAGAACACTTCGAAGGTAGTCAAATGTGGGCCGGTCCTCGGGACGCTCCTTCCAGCACAGCATCATGAGGTGGTACAGCTCCTCCGGACAGTTGTCAGGTCGGACCATTCGGTACCCTCGCTCCAGATTCTGAATCACTTCAGGGTTGGTCATTCCTGGAAGGTTGATGGGAGAAAGAACATCAAGCCTTTAAATGTTAGAAACCTAGGGCTGGAGAGATGGCTCAGTGGTTAAGAGCACTGACTGCTCTTCCAGAATTCCTGAGTTCAATTCCCATCAACCACATGGTGGCTCACAGCCATCTATAATGAGATCTGGCGCCCTCTTCTGTTGTGCAGGTGCACATGGAAGGAAGGTTGTATACATAATAAATAAATAAATAAAAGAATATCCTGGGGGCTGGAGAGATGGCTCAGTGGTTAAGAGCACTGACTGCTCTTCCAGAGGTCCTGAGTTCAATTCCCAGCAACCACATGGTGGCTCACAACCATCTGTAATGAGATCTGGTGCCCTCTTCTGGCCTGCAGGCATATATGCAGGCAGAATACGGTATACACAATAAATAAATAAATAAATATTAAAAAAAAGAATATCCTATATTTATAAAAAAAATGTTAGAAACCTAAAAGCAAGGCTGATGCTAATTTGGAGATCTTTCTTTCTTTCCTATCTATAGTCCTATCTATCTATCTATCTATCTATCTTTTTATCTATCTTCTATCTTCTTTTCAATCAATCTATCTATCATCTTCCTTTTTATCTATCTATCTATCTATCTATCTATCCATCCATCTATCTTTGAGGTACTTGGAATTGAATACAGGATTTTATGCATGTTAGTCAAGCAGTCCATCACTGAGATACAACCCAAGCCTATAGTTTGGATGTTGAATGTCTTCTCATGTGTTGAAAGCCTGGCCCCCAACTCATGCACTAATGAGATACGGTAGAATCTTTAAGAAGTGGAGTCTTTAAACTCAGCACTCAGAAGGCAAGGCAGTTGGATCTCTGTGAGTTCAAGGCCAGCCTGGTCTACAGAGAAAGTTCCAGGACAGAGATGTTACATAGAGGGGATTAAAAGGAAGAAGTGGGTTCTAGTCATACATGGTGACACGTGCCTTGAGATCCCAGCACTCAGGAGGTAGAAGCAGGTGGATCCCCATGAATTCAAAGCTATCCTGGTCTACCTAATAAATTGCAGGTTAGCTATGGCTACATAGTGAGATCCTGCCTAAAAAGAGAAAGACAGAAACAATGAGAGATATGGGGATGGAAGTTAGGTCACTGTGGACATTCTCTTGAGGGACAACATGCTGAAACCAGAGTCCTCCTCTTCCTCTCTTTGCTTCCTGCTATGAGGTAACAGTTAACTATACCATGTGCCAGATACGCTCCCCCAAAAAGAAAAGAAAATCAGTGAAACAGAATCTCTGAAACAAAATGAATCTTTTTTTTTATCCTCTCTCTTTTTTTAATTTTTTTTTTTTTTATTTTCAGGACAGGGTTTCTCTGTATAATAGCCCCTAGCTGTCCTGGAACTAGTAGCTCTGTAGACCAGGACGGCCTTGAACTCACAGAGATCCGACTGCCTCTGCCTCCAGAGTGCTGGAATTAAAGGCAGGCGCCACCACCACCTGGCTCTCTTCTTTCTTTAAGACAGTTACACTACGCAGCTCTGGCTGGCCTAAAACTCATTACGTAGACCAGCCTGGCCTCAATTAAAGATCCGCCTGTTTCTGCCTCTCAGATTCTGGAATTAAAGAATGTACCACCAGGGGGCTGGAGAGGTGGCTCAGGGGTTAAGAGCACTGACTGCCCTTCCAGAGGTCCTGAGTTTGGCCAGGCGGTGGTGGCGCACACCCGTAATCCCAGCACTCGGGAGGTAGGGGCAGGCGGATCTCTGTGAGTTCAAGGCCAGCCTGGTCTACAAAGGGAGTTCCAGGACAGGCTCCAAAGCTACAGAGAAACCCTGTCTCGAAAAACCAAAAATAAAAACCAAAACAAAACAGAGGTCCTGAGTTCAATTCCCAGCAACCACATGGTGGCTCACAACCATCTGTAATGAGATCTGGTGCTCTCTACTGGCACCAGATATATATAGGCAGAATACTGTATACATAATAAATAAATCTTTAAAAAAAAAAGAATGTACCACCACGCCCAGCAAACTTGATTCTTTTTAATTTTGTTTATCAAGACAAAGTTTCTCTGTGTAGCCCTGGCTGTTCTGGAACTCAATCTACAGACCAAACTGGCTTCAAATTCACAGAGATCTGCCTGCCTCTACCTCCTAGTACATGGATAAAGGTTAGGTCACTGTGCTACTACCACCCAGGTTAAAAATATTTTATTAATTATTACTAAATTTGTGTGTGATGTGTGTGGGCCAACACATGGGCCAAAGCCTCTGCGTGAAGGTCAGAGAACAACTTTTCTTTTCCTTCAGTTTTTTGAGACAAGGTTTCTCTATACAGCTCTGGCTGTCCTGGAACTCACTACTTAGATGGGGCTGGCCTCAAACTCAGAGATCTGCCTGCTTCTGCCTCCAACGTGCTGGGATTAAAGGTGTGTGCCACTACGCTTAGCTTAAACTTTTTATTTTTTATGTGTATAAATGTTTTATATGTCTGTGTATCACATATGTGAAGTGCCCCAGGAAGTCACAAGAGGGTACTGAATTCCTTGGAATTGACGTTATAGACAGCTGTAAGCTGCCATGTGGTTGCTGAGAACCAATCCCAGGTCCCCTTAACCACTGAGCCATCTCTCCAGTCTCCCGTGCTCTCTCACCATGAAAGAACGGTTTTTTTTTTTTTTTTTTTTTTTTGATTTTTCGAGTCAGGGTTTCTCCGTAGCTTTTGGTTCCTGTCCTGGAACTAGCTCTTGTAGACCAGGCTGGCCTCGAACTCACAGAGATCCGCCTGCCTCTGCCTCCCGAGTGCTGGGATTAAAGGCGTGCGCCACCACCGCCCGGCTGGGTTTTTTTTTTTAAGATAGTGTTGTCACAGGGTATTTGTGCATACTGCATGATGCTGTGTCACAGAAAAGCCTGTCAGATATTCTAGGCTCATAGGCTCAAGATGGATGCCTCAACATTGCAGAGAAACCTTGGGTGACTGTCATTTTTTGTCTTTTTGAGACAGCGTTTCTCTGTGTAACAGCTCTGACTGTCCTGAAACTCACCCTGTAGACAGAGATCTACAAGCGTGCGCCACCACCACCCAGATAACAACTTTCAAGCGTGGGTTCTCTCCTTTCACCTTCCCATGGGTTCCAGGGATTGAACTCAGGTCCTCAGGCTTGCTCAGCACATGTTTTACCCTCTGGGCCACCTCGTTGCACCCCCAACTTTCTTCTTTATAAGTTGACCATCTCAGGAGTTTTTTGTTGTTTTGTTTTCAGTAAACAGAAAGCTGGCTAACACAGGTGATGTTCAGAATATGTAACTACCAATCCAAAATGATACTGGTCTTCATGATGGTAGACACTAGCGTTCCCTGCTGAATGTCGGTCCTATTTTTACAGTACTGATCCAATTACTCGCTCAGTAACAAAAGCGCCAACTGCAGGACCTTGACCGAGCTTCCTCATCTAGAGTATAGACTAAATCCTCGCTCCTCTTCCCTGAGTTATGGTGAGGATTGCGTGAATCAGTGTGTATAAACAAGCATAGTTGTTTGGAGATTTTTTTTTTTTTTTTTTGTAATGTCTACCTGGGATTGTTCTCTAGGGGCAGCAATGGGGCCGTCGGGGCTCAGGACAGGATGAGAACCCAGTCAGGCAGTGCTGAGGCATCTCTAGCCTTGAGACTATGCACAGGAGATACTGTATCAGGACAGGAGATGAACACTGGCCTATGAGATGGGACAAGCCCAGAGCTGGGA